AGAGTGCAGTGGTGTCACAGGACACAGCAACCTCAAATTCTGGGCTCAAGCAATTCTCTTGCCTCAGCCTCCCAAGTAGCTGGAACTACAGGCACCCACCACAATACCCAGCTATTTTTTTTGTTGTAGTTGTCATTGTTGTTTAGCTGTCCCAGGCTGGGTTTGAACCAACCACCCTTGGCGTATATGGCTGGCACCATAACCACTGTACTACGGGGGCACCAAGCCAATATTTTTATTTTTTTGAGACAGAGTCTCACTTTGTCACCCTCAATAGGGTTCTGTGGCATCACAGCTCAGAGTAACCTCAATCTCTTGGGCTGAAACCATTCCCTTGCCTCAGCCTCCCAAGTAGCTGGGACTACAGGCACCCTCCATAACACCCAGCTAATTTTTAGAGACAAGGTCTCACTCTGGCTTAAGCTGGTCTCGAACCTGGGACCTCAGGCAATCCACCTGCCTCGGCCTTCCAAGTGCTGCTGGGATTACAGGCATGAGCCACTGCACCCAGCCTAAGAGCCTATATTTTACACAGTATTTAAAGCTGGTTATTTTTCTGACCATTCTATTACATACTTTGGTAGTTACCAACATGGAGTTTTTGGCATTTGGTCCTAGTGCTCTTAGTGTTTAATGGTTTACTTCTTTGATGTCAGTTGCATATAGGTCTGTACTCCATGTGCAACACAAGAATAATATAATGGCATACCCTAAATGGTTGCATTCCAGAGTACAGCCACCTAGGAGTAGGCGCAAGTGCCCTCTGAGTAGATCAGCCAGGGAAATATAATACTATTTTTGATATCTGAGACTTTGTCAAACAGCTCTTTGTGCACCTACCTTTATGTTTTCAAATGTAATTTAGGTAATAAATATGACTATCTTCTTAAATTAAAAAAATGAGCAAAGTACTTGAATAGACGTATTTCTGAAGAAGATATATAAATGACCAAAAAACACATGAAAAGATGCTCAACATCATTAGTAACTACAGAAATTCAAATCAAAACTATTATGAGATATCATTTCATACTTATTGGGGTTGCTATAATCAAAAACAAGAAAAGTGTTAGTTAGGATGTAGAGAAATTTGAACTTCTAGCAATTCCTGATGGGAATTTAAAAATGTTGCACCTGCAATGAAAACCAGTATGGCAGTTCCTCAAAAAATTATAGACCTTCAACATGACCCTGAAATCCCACTCTTTGGTATACTTGTACATACCAGAGATATTAAAATATATTCACACCAAAACTTGTACAGAAACATTAATAGTAGCATTATTCATGATAACCAAGAAATGAAAACACCCTGAATGTCCATCAATGGATTAATGGATAAACAAAATATGGTACATACATACAATGGAAAACTATGCAGTCTTAAAACCACATGAAGTTCTAATATATGCTACAGCATGAATGAACTTTGAAAACATTATAATAAGTAAAATAAGCCAAACACGAAGGGATAGATATTGTGTGATTCCACTTACATGAAGAATCTGCAATAGGCAAATACATAGAGTCAGAAAATAGATTAGATGGTGGAAGTGGGGTTGGAAAATGAGGAATTATTGTTTAATGGTTATAAAATTTCTTTACATTTGGGATGATTAAAAACTTCTGGAAATGGATAATGACAATGTACAATTCAGTGGCACAAACTACATTCCCAATGTCGTGCAAACATTGTACGTACCATATTTTCTCTGACATTTGAAAATCAATGAACATAATCCACCGTATTGATAAAGAACAAAAAATAACATGATCACATCAATTGATGCATAAAAAGCATTTAAAATTTCAACATCCATTCCTAATATAATCTCTCATTAAACTATGAATAGACGAGAATTTTGTGAACCTGATAAATGGCATTATACTAGGTATGACCCTAGGTATCCTAAATGGGATAGAACTATTCTGTATATTGTCTTAGTTGCTATATACCAGCAATCCCCAACCTTTTTGGCAACAGGGACCAGTTTTGTGGAAGAAAATTTTTTCATGGACTGTGGAAGAGTGGGGAACCTGACTGGAGGCAGAGCTCATCCCACTGAGTGAAACCAGTGATGGGGAGTGACTGGGGAGCTGCTGTAAATACAGATGAAATTTGGCTCACTGGCCAGGTTCCTAACAGGCCACAAACTGGAACATTTTTGGCACCAGAGACCAGTTTCATGGAACACAATATTTCAATGGATCCGGAGGGGTAAGGGGAATAGGAGAGGGGGTGGAACTTGGGCAGTGATGCTGTGGGGCCTGGCTCCTAACAGGCCATGCAACTGGTACTGTTCTTCAGCCTGGAGGTTGGAGACTACAGGTATATATAACCTACATCTGACAAAATTATACAGAAATACATATACACACGCACACTTGCACAAATTAATACAAGTAAGCCTAGGAGAGAAATATTGTGGGTTTTTGTTTGTTTTGTTTTGTTTCTTATTGTGTTTTATTTTTTTGCAGTTTTTGGCCGGGGCTGGGTCTGAACCTACCACCTCCAGCATATGGGGCCAGTGCCCCACTCCTTTGAGCCACAGGTGACACCCTGTTTTGTTTCATTTTTTAGGCAGAGTCTCACTCTATTGCCCTGAGTAGAGTACTGTGGTGTCATCATAGTTCACAGCAACCTCAATCTCTTGGTCACAAGAGATCCTCATGCCTCAGCGTCCTGAGTAGCTGGGACTACAGGTGCCTGCCAGACACAAGGCTACTTTTTCTATTTTTAGTAGAGACCAGGTCTTGCTCTTTCTCAGGCTAGTCTTGAACTCCTGAGCTCAAGGAATCCACCTGTCCTGCCCTTCCAAGAGTGCTAGGATTACAGGCATGAGCCACCACACCCAGCAACCTAGGATAAATAAATAAGGTAAGTGGATTGTGTCAAGTCAGTATCACATGTGAGATATTGTACTATAGTCTTACAAGATGTTTCCACTGTAAGAAACTGGATGAAGTATACGTGGGATTCTATTAATTTTACAACTGCAAGTGAGTCTTTAATTATCTCAATAAAAATTTCTATTAAAAATCTTTTTTTCAAGAATAATACCCTACTCTGTCATCTTTGGCATCAAAATAACTTATTTATTGACCAAGAATCAGAATTGCATGAAGCCTGAGACAGTGAAAATCTACAGGCCATTAGTACAAACTAAGTTGAAACTGATATTAATATGTTTTTTGCTGTTTCTAATCTTTGGCGTTACTGATCACACTGGACCTCTCCGACACTTTCCGAAGGTGTCACCTGGCTCCCGTGAACTCCCTAGCACTATGATTTCACAAGCAGCCTGCTTGACGACTTTGTAAGTGTGGTAGACAAGACTGGAGAAAATACTGGGTAGATACTAGCTTGAAAGAAACAGTTGAAGGAGCTGGGGCTGTTTTCCCTGAGACAAGGTGACATGAAGGCAGAATACCTGGATTCAGACCCTAGATGACTGCTTTTGGGCAGAGAAAGTGACAATATTCTCTGGGGTCCTATGAGTGAGCAAAAGATAAGATCTCAGGGGTCCTACTTTCTAGATACATATATGGGCTTAGCAGAAAGGGCTGAGTTGATTAACAATGAATGAGATGTACTGCTTCTGAATGTAGAGAATTCCCTATTATTAGAAGCATTCAAGCTGAAGTCATCATTGGATATCTCTCTTTCAATGTGCAGATTCTATCATGAAAATAATCATGTGACACAGGGATGCTAATATTTTATATCACTCTGGTCCCCTCACTGGCTCTTCATTTTACCTGACTTAAATCCCAAACCTTGTGATTGAAAAGGGGAAGAAAAGGGCTCTTAGGTCTTGGGATCAGTGTTCTGAATAGACTGAAGTCTTTCTTTGTGCAGGAAAATTTAAATTATAATTGTTTTAGTTGGGGATATAAGTACACAGAACTCTGCAATACCTCCCCCCTAGATTAATTCGGGAGATTGACATGGACACAGTATTATCATAGGCAACCAGTGCAGATTTTAGTTCTGGCATTTTTGCATTATATGAAATATAATTGCTGCCATGTCTGTTTTCCTAATAAACTGTGAAACGTTAAGGGACATCACATCTTACTGTTCTCTGTGTTCTTCCTGTGTCTAGAACTTTACATGTAAAGGCTACTTGATAGTTGCTCCATAGAGTTTCTCAGACTTGATAAGATTGTTTTTGGTGTGGTTTTTATACTTAATGCTGGCTGGTTTTTCCTCCCAGCGGGGGACAGGATGCTGGCTCCCAATTTCATTCTGTGTGACACCTAAAATAGATAATATGGCTTTTTCTAATGGTATCTCCCTACCACTTTCCTGATTTAAAGATAACCAGGGAGATAAAATGATACCCTTACAAGCCGATCTCCTAGTGATGGGCAATGTTGGTGATGCCTTAGGGGTGAGGGGAGTGGAAGGCTTTGAGCACTTTTTTCTTCACGTTGATGCTGGTGGGTTAGTGGACTTTATACATAAATGACCAGGGCCTCTAAAGCTTTAGAAAAGCTGACCGAAAACATGTACAGATATAGCAGTTTCCCCTTCCCATTCCCCTTCTCACTCCGGGCAGTGAGTTGCTGAGCCCTCAAGAAAGCAAAAAGGAAACCCAGAGAAGTTAAGTTTAAAAGAGAAACAAAGAGGCACCAGCTCAGAGGAAAATGTGCTAGACCGAGTTTTGACCTTCTTGGGCCCCTTGGTGGAGGGCTGGGAATACCCACTGCTCAAGGGCCTCACCCTGGCAGCCATTTGAATGGTGAAGAGTATATGAGGACACGCTGAAAGCAAGCAGGAGACCTAACGTCGCCAGGCACCTGTCTCCCAGTCCTTCCAAGATTTCCCCGGAGATATCCCCCCACCCCAACCCACCCCCGCCTTTGCTAGGATCACTCCCAGAATGGCACTGGTTGGATAACACAGCTGGCCCAGGGTGGGGGGATGGAGTGTAGCCTATTATTAGTCCCCTGAACTAAGTCAGCCTAGGACCTGATGCCTAGCATTTCCGCAGTGTTGGGAACTGAGGGCCCCAAGTGCTCCAAGTTTGGGCAATAGGGGCTACCCAAGAGGGCCCAGTAGGGCCCCAGGGCTTCACTGAGAAGGCGGGGAACAGCGACCCTAGTCAGTGTGGCCTGAGGCTGAAGCCCCGTGAGTACCTGGAGCCTAGGACCCCATGCTATTCAGGAACCTCTAATAACGACCCTTTATAGTCTGTTCCCACTGACTCTGGGACCTGAGAGGGTGCTTGGGAGGTGGGTAGGTAAACCCACTATTAGAAGGCAGAAGGCCAGCTTCCTGCCTTGTCTGTCCCAAAGGTGTGTGTGTGCCTAGATCTAGGACCTCGTTTCTAAAGGGACCTACTTCTTGAGGGTATTTGTGGTTATACAATTACAGGGAAGGTGGAGGTTTGTCTTTGTGACCCTATGTGCTCTTGACTTCTGTGTATATGAGTGCAGTGGAGTGGGGGTTTAAGGGCACAAGGGCAGTGTTTCTGAGTGGAAGGAGGAAGGTTAGACTTAGAATTTGTCTATTAAAATTCTTGAAGGAGTGTTCCAGGGCACACAGAAACCAGCCACTTTTCAATAGGAGTTTTTAATCTGGATTCACAGACCCCAAGAGGGCCTTAGATGGAATTCAGGGGGTTTAGAAGTTTGGATGGGAAAAAAAATACCTTTTTCCCCACATAACCTCAAACTGAAATTTATCATTTCCTTCAAGGATGAATGCAGGCAGCAAATGGTGGTAGTATTACCAGTTCCTATAATTGGACACCAGAAGAAATCATAGACATTTCATATAATATTACAGGTGTGGTAGAGATCTTGAAATGTCATTTATACTCATCACCACTTAGAAATTATTACTAGATCTCATTATTTAATGTATTAATAAAGAACATCTATTACTACATTATGCCATTTTAAAAATGTTTTGATAGTAGTATTTCAATATAATTGTTTTCCTTTCATTCTATTTTATTTTATTTTATGTACTAAAAACCTTTCTGAAAGGGGCCACAGACTTCA